AGAAATAGTTGGAACTGATTTCAATGTTCGATTGAAATATTAATTTGGAGAATTAATCCCACCGTCAAAAGTAGTCGCACGAGTATTCTAAATAATCGAGAACCGAACGATATGTGCTATGTACACGCACGTATTTTTACATTGGTGCCAGAAAGAGAATCGCGTAGGTTTACAGAATTATTATTAGCGGTGAATTATTCGTAGAAATCGCGTCTCTCTCTCTCGTGTTCTCGCATAATGCAAGCACGTGGTAAACGGCCACACTGTGCTTGAAAACCACGAAGGACGATTTTAACAGAGGAAGCTGTCCGGTTCCTTTCGTAACAGATGCCAGATTTCCAACCGATACCATTGTTCTGTCGTGTTTTATTTAGCGGCGAAGCTCGATAGCGTTTGCACGCTAAATAAATTTCGCGGAAACCGACTGTTTCGAAATCCCTACTGTTTCTTACATTAAAAAAAAAGGTAGAATTTCAGAGTTTTAAGACACGATCTCGGCTTTTTGAAACAGTAGGATCTCAGAAATTTAAGAAACGGTGCAGGTTTCAGAATTTTCAGGAACAGAGCAAGCTCTTTTAAAAAAACAGTCGAACTTCAGAAATCTCAGAGACAGTCGGATTTCAGAAATTTCAGAGACAGTCGGATTTAAGATATTTAGAAAATAATAGGTTTCAGAATTTTAAGAAATTTCTTAAAAAAAACAGGCGTTTCAGAAATCTAGGGGACAGTTGGATTTCAGAAATTTCAGAGACAGTCGAATTTCAGAAATTTCAGAGACAGTCGAATTTCAGAGATTTAGGAAACAATAGGTTTCAGAATTTTAAGAAACAGCAAACTTCTTAAAAAGCAGGCGAGTTTCAGAAATCTAATAGACAGTCGAATTTCAGAAATTTCAGAGACAGTCGAATTTCAGAGATTTAGGAAACAGTAGATTTCAGAATTTTAAGAAACAGCGGGCTCTTAAAAAGCAGGCAATTTTCAGAAATCTAAGAGACAGTCGAATTTCAGAAATTTCAGAAACAGTCGAATTTCAGAAATTTCAGAAACAGTCGAATTTCAGAATTTTAAGAAACAGCAAACTTCTTAAAAAACAGGCGAGTTTCAGAAATCTAAGAGACAGTCGAATTTCAGAAATTTCAGAGACAGTCGAATTTCAGAAATTTAAGAAACAACAAACTTCTTAAAAAGCAGGCAAGTTTCAGAAATCTAAGAGACAATCGAATTTCAGAAATTTAAGAAACAGCAGGCTGTTCTTAAAACTGGTGAATTTCAGAAATTTCAGAGACAGTCGAATTTCAGAAATTTAGGAACAGTAGATTTCAAAATTTTAAGAAACAGCGGGCTCTTAAAAAGCAGGCGATTTTCAGAAATCTAACGAAACAGTCGAAATTTCAGAAATTTAAGAAATAACAGGCTCTTCTTAAAAACTGGCGAATTTCAGAAATCTAACAAAACAGGCGAATTTCAAAAATCTAAGAGACAGTCGAATTTCAGAAATCCAACGAAACAGTTGAAATTGCAGAAATTTAGGGAAACCGGTGGAATTCCAGAATTTTCTTTTTTTTCTCTGCGTGCAACTTGTATGGAACCTACTGTGATCAATTATTTCGTCACTCGCGAGTAGACACGGACAATCTCGTTACGTTCTAAAAATTCCATTCTTCTATCTGTTTGAAAGAATTTCAAATTATTTCGAGTACATTCGAATTTTATTCGCCCCTCTCTCTTTCTTCTCAGAGTCAAATTTTCATAACCAAATTCAAATTCATCGCCAATTCATCGACGTACACTGTGGAAATTGTGGAAGAACTCTCTCTCGTTATTGACGGGGACTGTTCGAGTGTACCGAGCGTACAGGGAGAGAAAACCTCGACCGACATTCGAATCCGGATCTCTTTTGCTCGCGGGACGACCACTCTATTCGAGCAACAATTAAATTATTTGGGTCGTCGGTGAATTTCCTTTACCTTTTGGCTCCCACGTTGAAAATTTCCCTGCGATTCCATGACAGAATCAATGATTCTATACTACATATGATGGACCGAAAGTTTCATTTTAACAAAACATCGAAATATAAGGAAAACACGAATTTTATTAATTTTAAATTAAATTCAAGTTCAAGCACGACCCTTTGATTATCATTGTCAAAAATTATTTCTTCCAGTGAAAAAAAAGTTCTAGACTTTTGACCCATCATCAATAGAAATTATCATTGCGCACAGTTAAGTTCGTCAATCAATTCCCAAGTCAACGACGAATGTTACAGAGATCAGATCAATTTTTAGTCTGCAAATTTCACTCGCGAATTCGCCGGCATTAAACGGCGTAATTTCGCACTTAACGTTAACTCAACCACGCTGTTCCTGTTTTCCAAGTTATCGCAGCCATTCAAACACATCATACGTACGTGGAGGAATTTCACAAGCGCGACGTGTTCAGTTTCATCTGCTAGTTAATTGACCCTTTGCGGCCGAACGTCGAGCCTGACTGGACATTTCACACTTGCTTGCACCAGGCCCAACACGTGGCTTG